TGGAGTGGAGTGGATATATACAGCTTGCTCACTGGTTTGATCTTCCTTGAGAAGATAAACAAGGCAAAGAAGGACAATAAATTCATTGAAATTGATTCTCATGTCTTCATTTATATCGCAAGCCTCAAATAAGTCGTTTATTTCCTCATCGGTGAAAGTAAGCTCAAGCTTCCGAAAGCAGCTTTTTAGCTCTTGAGGATCTATTGCGCCATTACTATCTTCATCTATTAGCATGACAACAAAAATGAAATAGATTCTGATTAAAAATTTTCAGGTTTTTATTTTCTAAGGAAAAAACATAATAATAAGGACATCACAGCTTTCTCTATCAAGGCAAATTCGTTAATAAGGACATCACAGCTTTCCAAGTTTCAATTTCAAAGTAAAGCTACCCTAAAAACTACTTCTACTGCAAAAAAAAAATATATATATAAATAAATAAATAAATAAAATCAACTTTCTCAATAAGCAGAAGCTCTTTACGAATTCTCAATAACCTACCGAATTCTTCGAATGTTGTCTTGCATTTTTGAAAGCTTTCATCAATCTTGGGAAACTTTAGAATAATGCTGTTGAAGGATATGATAGAACTCCCCTTTGCTTCCCGCTTTCGCAGAGCCTCGATTACTTTGGCCTCGAGCTTCGTTTTAGGCTCCAAATTCGTGTGAGATCCTTCCTTAGCAACTACACCTCCCATGTCGTGTGACCTAATTTATTTAATTAAATCCTCTGCAAAACCATCAAATTGTAAAAGCTAAAAAGAACATTAAAAGGGATCAAAATTGTTAATTGTACAGTATTGAATCCCAATTGAAGCATGTCCTCAAGCATGTTAATGACTTGTTTCAGAGCTATATATACATGATTTTTTTTTTTAAAGGCACCCTACAAATCATAAGTTTTTTATGGATCACAATAATCATTAACCACTTAAATATTTCAACAGCAAGTTGGGATAAATAAAGGGGCATCAAAAACCCTGTGTAAGATTGTAAAAAAGATCCAACACAGATTATATTCAAGAATCAAAATTACCTCTGAGTGTGTGTGTGTGTGTGTGAGTGAGAGAGAGATAGATTCAGCTTAACAAAGAAAGATCCAAATGGGCAAAAAAGCAACCTTTAACAAGATCTGAATTTTGTCACCAGCAACAAAGGATAATTTTCTGGGTTAAAAAAAGGTACCCTTTTGCTTGAAGAATTTGGCTGTATAAATGGTTTGAAGGTAAATGAAGCTGAAAAAAAACAAAAAAACAGATTCTACACACACAAATGGCGTTGACAAAGAGACCCAACCCAGAAAAAAAGAAAGATTATATGAATCTGATATAATGATTAGAAGTAATTGACCCAATTGTGAACAGATGAACTGATGAAGGATGTGGGTTAGAAAGAATTTTATTACGATTCTGCATTTAATTTTAGTATATTGTATTTGATTTAAAGAAAACAAAATATAAAATAAAATTAAATCGAGTATCAGTCCAAGGTTGGTGGGCTACCCACCACGTAGCACTTTTTCTGCTTGAATGAAGATAATTTAATAAAATAATTAGAGGTCATTAGATCTTACTAGGGTGAGCATCGGCGCGGTTCGGTTCTTCATCGAACCGCACCGAACCGGAAAAAAAAATGAAGACCGAAAATATAATTTTTTCAAATCGAACCGCACCGAGTTTGGAGGAAAAACTGAACTAAAACCGCATCGAAATTTTCGGTTTGATTCTGTGCAGTTTCGATTAAACCGCAAAAAACTAAAAAATCAAAAAAGAAAAAATCAATTTGAAGGCTGAGTCTAGTTGTAGAAGGCGGATGCTGATGCTCGTGAACTCTAGATAGGCACAAGACTCAAAAAAAAAAANTCGGCAAAAAAAATCAATTTGAAGATTTGAAAAAAAAAAAATTGAAGACTCAAAATAAAAATCAATTTGAAGATAAACTAAGGGTTCTTGGTCACAATGAAGAAAGAGAGCGAATGGGAAGAGGAAAGAAGAAGACTGAGAGAGACTGAGAGCTGACTTAAATTGAGGCCGGTGACGAAGAGCGGGCTGAGCCTGAGGGAGAGCGACGAGAGAGATAGAAACCCCGACGTTGAGATGTCTGATGCGTGAGTTGAGAGAGAGTTGACAAAAATGAAGTTCAGGCAAAATATAAGAAATAGAATTTTAAGTTTTGTTTAATTGTTTTTTTAATTGGTAATTAGCATTGTTTTATTATACTTTATAAATGGGCAAACGGTCATAGGCCCCAAACCCAAAGGCCCAAACCAAATGTCAAAAACAAAAGCTTACCTACAGCCCAACCCAACTGTTCAAATAAATTGTATTTTAACATATTCGATGCAGTTCGGTTAAAACCGCACCTTTCGGACACAAAACCGAACCGCACCGAATTTTTTGCGGTTTTCCTAAATTCTAACCTCACCGAAAATCGAACCCTTGAAAAACTGAATTGAACCGCACCGAATACATCGGTTCGATTCGGTTTTTCAATTTCGGCTCCGTTTTGCTCACTCCTAGATCTTACTTCTTAGGTAAACATAATTATTTATTTTGTTTTATTTTATATGTGATACTTACAGTAGCTATGTGGCACTCATTTAAAAAGACGTGATTAGTCAAAACAGCTAAATAATTTTAGTTCATTCATCTCGGGACATCAGTTTTTAACATTTAAAAATTTGTGTTCATTTGCAATTTCTAACCACTTATTGAATATTCTTTTGCTACAAGTACATAATAAATATACATAAAGTTGTACATAACACTCACATGGAGTGGGGTCCACTTAATTTTTTATTTTTGGTATGACCCACTTAATGTAAGTGCTATGTACAGTATTACTAGTATCTTCACCCGTGCGATACACGGGATATATTTATTAAAATATTTTAATATATATATATATATTTATTTATATATATATATTTATCATAAAAAGTAAATGACAAATAAATAACATCATATTGAATCGGGAGTAAAAATACAATATTGTATGTTATTACATATTGTGGAAAACTTCTATATAGAAAATATTTTTAGTAGTTTTCTTTTCTCCATTATCGTCATCACATATTAATATTTTCAATCCATTTCGATTAGTGACTCGAGAAACAGCAACGTATAGCTGATCATGACTAAACACAGGTCTTTTCAAGTAAAGTCCAACATGGGATAACGACTTTCTTTGACTCTTATTGATTGTCATTGCATAAGAAACTATAGGAGGAAATTGTCTACGCTGGAACTCGAATGGTATCCTGAGATCAGATGGAGTTAGGGAAAGTCTTGGTACCAATACCTTATGTCCAGCATTTGATCCGGTTAGAATCTTACATTCAAGCAAGTGAGTGGCAAGCTTCGTTATCACAAGCATGTTCCATTACACAGTCCGATCAAATGGTCAATGTTTCTCAACAGCGTGACAGAAGTCCCAACCTTTAAGTGCAATTCATGATTTGGAACACCAAAACATTTTATACTATTTAAGAACTCTGGCATGTGCAGGTCATGCAAGAAATCAACACCACCATCAAATTTGCATGTGCTGTCAGGACTTAAATAAGTATGACTTTCCGATTGATCCAAAGATGACATATACACATTGATGAAGTCAACAACATCTAATGTTGGAGCTAATATTATAGCCATGTATTTCAAAGAGTTGAGATCATCAATGCAATCTTTTACCATTGGATAAGTGTTTTTCCACGATGGTTGCGAGGGGGTCATCAGAATTCCGTAGCAAAAATTCACCAGGTATGTCAATATCCGTACAACCATATTTGCTTCCTCCAATTGTTCCATCTCCAATTCTTGCAATCCACTCGGCAAACTCAACCAATTTATGGTACTCTTCATTTCCACCATGGCTGTGAAATCTCATGTTTTTAGTCAAACTCAAAACTCGACAATCTTTCCATATTTTAGATGCATTGATCGTTTCATTAACAATGTCTTGTCGACTTCCTTTAGGCACAACAGGTTATATTTGCCGAAAATTTCCAAAAAAACAACCGTTTTTCCTCCAAACACTTATGCTTATTTGATGGATCGATAACTGACATTGTTGACTTAAACGTGTTATCAAGAGCTTCAAAACATTACTTATTCATCATAGGAGCTTCATCCCAAATTATAAGGGGTGCACGAATAATTAGTTCTGCTTGAATGAAGATAATTTAATAAAATAATTAGAGGTCATTAGATCTTACTTCTTAGGTAAATATAATTATTTATTTTGTTTTATTTTATATGTGATACTTACAGTAGCTATATGGCACTCATTTAAAAAGACGTGATTAGTCAAAACAACTAAATAATTTCAATTCATTCATCTCGGTACAACAGTTTTTAACATTTAAAAATTTGTGTTCATTTGCAATTTCTAAACACTTATTGAATATTCTTTTGCTACAAGTACATAATAAATATACATAAAATTGTACATAACACTTACATGGAGTGGAGTCCACTTGATTTTTTATTTTTGGTACGACCCACTTAATGTAAGTGCTATGTATAGTATTATGTACCTATAGCATTTCTCTGATGTATTTTACTCATTTATTAATAGATTTATTCGGATTTTTTGAGATTTCAACTACAAAATGCGTATATCTAATCTTTTATCCAAACTTAAGATTTATAACATTCAATAGAATGAAAATATAAAATAAAATCATTAATTTTAAAACGTATGAGATCACTAAAAAATTGTTACAATAATAATATTTTTAATATTGTTTCATTTAATAAATTAATCATAACATGTCACGATTCCAAAAATTATACTATTGCAATCAACATAATTATTAATATGTAAGTTAAATAGTTTATATTTATATGGTTTATTTTTTTACTAATGATAAACTTTATAAAATGTGACATGCTCATTAACCAACTTATAATTTTAAATATTATATGCACACATATATAACACATGAACTTTTATTTCCATATGTGCATTTGCACAAGATTCATGTATTATTTATTAAATAAAAAGTGAATCTATATATATATATATAATAAGAATTATCATTTACCAAAAATAGTAGCAAAAAAATAGGTCAGAATTTAATGCAGCCTATAAATAGTAAGTTTTATTAATTTTCTTATTTTTTCTTTAAAAATCATACAACATTAAATGCTACCTTAAATTTCGGACTTTAGGTCATTTTATTATTTAAAAAATCCAGCTAAGATTTATTAAGTGTGTATGTTTTTATTTTTATTTTTTTCTTAGAAACAACGAACAATATTAAAATCTCGGTCTCTATATTTATAAAATCTTAATCCAAATTATAACAAAACTTTTAGAATCTCGGTCTTTATATTTGTGCCTTTAAAAAAATATTGAATGCTAAAAATATTCTTAAATTGCATAATCAATCAATTAATCTTAATTTTTAAAAAATTACTATGTTTATTTTTTATTAATATGCATAAAGTAAAATAATTAATTCATATTTAGATATATAATTTATAATCTTGATATACTATCATTTGGTGTAGATATTTATTATATGAATCATAAAATATTTTTATTTCATAAAATTAAATATATTTAAAGAAAATAAGAAAATTTATTCGAATCAATCGAGTGATTGAATTAGGGTATTGCCCAGGTTGATTAAATTACTTTTACGTGATATATAAAATATTCAAAAAATTTGACACAACTTGGTTGGTCCGAAGTGACTAAGTTATGTATCAGTTCGACCACACCAAATCGACTATTGAACCTAAATATAAATTTTATATTGAAAATATTTTATTACGTGAATGTGATGTAGCAAAAACTTCAAATAATCGTATTAACAATACTTTTGTGATAACATGTTTAATGATTTATGAATACTTATATATCATTTTATTAATACTTTTGTGAATTAAATAATATTTTATTATAATATTTATTAATGTACAGTAAATATAAGGTTTCATAACTGTACATCATCGAAAAGATCAAGCTATTTTATTAAATGATTTGTGGTTTGTGCAGATTTTAATTTATGAACATTTTAATATATATATATATATATATAGTACTTTTCGTAATAAATTTAAATAAAATGTGTTACTTAGAACAATTTATAAATTCAAATGTTTAAACTAATTGATAAATAATTATAAATCTCTATTTTATTTAAATATGTAATTTTATTTAAAATAATTTTAAATATACAAAATTTATCTAAAAAATCGTGTCGATCCTACCAGTACAACCGGCTAGTATTGACGGATTCAAGAGCAAATATTTTATTCAAGCGAACTAGACTGGTTATAAACCGGTTCTTGGTGCATTCGGTCGGACTGTGTCCAACCCGGTTTAATTTAAAAACAATGGATAAATCATGATTAATGTTATTTATATATTTAATTTATAATACAATCGTATATTATTTTCTCGTGCATCGCACAGGACAGAAACTAGTTTTAGTTCAAAATAATTGATCTATGCTCCATGTTGTTTGGATGTTAACAAGTTGAGCCCAAATTTATTAAGTCAAACTCATAATTATTTTTTGGCTAAATATTATCTGATTAGTCTTTTGAACTTAAAACACTAATTAAAAAAATAATACAATAATACTTGGGATAAAGAGAACTTATAAAACAACTATTCAGATTGATATATACTGAACATTTTTTTATAAATTGTGCACTACTACAGTCAATAATCAAATCTAACTATTATAATTTGATATTAATTATTCCCTACCTGCTAATTGTTTATGGCAAACATGTTCTCCAAACAGGCTGACTTTGCAAAACCAGAAACAACGTAGCTTATTATTTACGCCATTTATTTTTACGAGATTTTGTCAATTATCCAAATGTTATTATTTTCCCGGTTATCAATTATACATTTGCAAAAGTCCCACTAAAAAAAACTGTGGAATAAGAATACAACTTTTTATTGTTTCTTTTTCCTTTTGTTTTTTATCACTTTGGTGGCAGTTGAGATTGCAATAATCTTTTATTTTTATTTTTTATTTTTGTTAAACTATTTATTTATTTTTATTTTCCACTTTTTTTATTTATTTGTTATTGAAATTCTAGCCATTTTTTACATTTTCTACAATGCAATCTAAGGGAAAAAAAGGCAGTATTATTTTTCTCTTTATAACAAAAATCAGTGAAATAGCAACAATAAGTAATTTAGGAACTCGTGGGCCCACAACACCATTGGCAATCACCATGGATATGACACGTGGCGAGAGTGTTGGACACATGATTCCTNAAAAAAAGAAAAAGAAAAAGAAAGAAAGAAAATTCGTAGTATACTAGTATTTCTTCGTTTTTTTTTATTTATTTTTTTCTGTTTTGTTTTTTAAAATATTTGTGAAAAAGATACTTATTTACTTTCATTAGGTTTCTTGTTTTGCTTATTTTTGTTCTCTTCATCTCTCTGCCTCGCTCGAGGATCGTAACCGCAGGTTACTCTCTCTATACTCTCTCTTATAAGTGATAATTAGTCTGATTTTAGTAGGGTTTATATACATCGGACGCAGATTAATTTTTGTGCATGTTCAATTGATTCAATTTATTTCTGGTTTTTTTTCTGTTACTTGTTCTGTTCAATTTCGAAATATAGTTCGTCCAATTTTTGTATTTTATAACCTGAGGACATGATTTTCTTTATGATCTCTCTGTATTTGTGTTCAATTCGTTATATTTATGGTGTTTTTTTTCTAAGTGTAAATGATTTTATGTTTAGGTATTCACGTGTGCTGTCAACTGGGTTTTTTTATATGATTTTGTTTTATTAGGATTGGGTGCTGAATGTGGCTGAATTCTATTTAGCTTTTGCAGATTTGATTGTATCTATTTTCTTGATGTATTAAAGTAATGTGTTTTGTTTGTTGACTAGGGTATTTTAAAAATGCAATTTGGGGTGTCCTGTTATTTATTTATTTATTTATTATATTTTGGGTGTCTGGTGGGGTGTGTGTATCTNTGCAGTATGGAATCATAGCTTGTTCAATTTTTCCATTTTTATACAGACATGAAATTTCTTTATGATCTTTCTGTATTTTGTGTGAATTTTGTTATCCTTATGGTGTTCTTTGAAGTGTAAATGGTTTTTATTTTTTGGGTATTCATTTGCTCACAACAGGGTTTTTTTATATGATTTATTTAATAGGTGTTGAATGTGGCTAAAATACTCTTGATTGTTTGCACATTTGATTTTATGTGTTTTCTTGGTGCGTTAAAGTAATGTGTTTTATTGATTAGCATATTTTAAAAATGCAATTTAAGGTGCCCCTTACTGTTTTCTTTATTTTATTTTTGGTGTCTGTGGTGTGTGCGTGGGGAGGGTTTTCATAAAATTTGTATATTGGTTGTTGTGTGAGTTATGCTGCTTGATGAGTAGAAAGCACTCAATCTCCCAGGGAAAAGGGATAATTCGGACTTGTTCTTACGTCTGATCTTCTTCATTTGGTGGTAATATTTAGGGTCTATAAATAATCTGAGTTCTCGACAGGAAAAAGTGATGGCTTCCAAGAGAATCTTGAAGGAATTGAAGGATTTGCAGAAGGACCCTCCTGCTTCCTGCAGTGCTGGTTCGTGATCTCGTTTATTATAATTTTATTTTATTTTTAATTTTTTTCCCACCTCCATGTTATTTTTCTTATATTATTGACTTAATTCGATTCCAGTTTCACCATTTCTTACATCAAAAGCATGAAACTTATATGTTTTTTCCCCTTACAATTGCAATTAATTATCGAGCAAGCCCTACTTGTAGTTGCATTTTGGTCAAACCCAAGTAAATTATAGTTCACTAAAACTTAATATACCTTTGTACCATTCTATATTGATCTCTTGATTGGTGAAGCTATCAGTT